AAAATGTATTTATTTTGAACCGGCACCTTTTTCATGCAATTTTCTTTTTTTGAATGCATCTGATGTTTTGACAAAGAAAATCTCACTTTATGTGTTATCCGTGGTTTATTTTAATTTTTAATAATGGAAGTGTTGAAAACTAGTGCTAGTTCGAAAATTAGTGCATTTACCCTACTCTAACTGATTAATTTTTTTTCTAGCTTTTGCAGGTGAAAATATTAAGTTTACGCTAAAAAGTATTTTTACTTGGAGACCATCCATTTAATTTCGAGATCAAACATAGTTCTAAAATCATTTCTTTAATTTTCATTAACTCGTTAAGAAAATAAAAATAGCCTTAAATCTGAAAAAAGTTGTATGAAAAGAATGTATTTAAAACTAGTGGTCCAATTTGATGACATTCAAATGGCTCCGAACTTATTCTTTGGAAGAATCTGAATCTGAAAGCGTCAAAAGTGCAAAATAACTGTGCTAGCGGGACGTTCAAAATAAGAAGACCTATTGGCGTTGACGACTGTCTCTTAGCCGGGAAACTATCTTTACTCCAACGGTGATTTTCATTTAGGTGTCTGTGAAAAAAAATACAAAAATCTTCCCTCCTTCACTTTCTCACGTAAAACCGCAAACAAAAACAACACGCTCGTCAAAGTCAATGTCGTCGATTACCACATTATGGTCTCTGAGTAGAGACTTGAAATCTGATTTTCGAACAACCAGAGATTCCTGGACGTGGTTCTGTAGATATCGCAATTTTTGATGGACGGTTGTTTCTTTTCGTATTCAATCGGTGTGATCCGTCCGAAAGTTTGAGCAGCGGAAATGTTTTGCTAAGCTGTGAATAGTTTTTCATGAGCGAATTATCAAATAAGACGAACACAAGTGTGATCGTCGTCGGATCTGGTCAGGGTTCTGATCCTAACATATCACATATCAGACCCACCTTTTCTTGATTTCCTTTTCATATGGAACAGCTATGCATGCAATTGTGGGCCAAATAGCAAAAAAAAAAAAAAACAATTTAATTTCAGACTCGACCTTCACCTATTTGTATGGAACTTTGACGAATTTCACGCTAACTCGACAAATGGTTGGCATCACCCTCTCAGATGTCAATGAAACTTTGTAAGTGTATAGATTTTGTCTATTTAAGTAACTCTGCATACTTATTTTCTTTAAAATAAAATTCTCTGAGAAATATTCATTTATTATTCAGAACGCTGCTCAAAGTTACCATTGGAATATCGCTCAGGCAACTATTCAGCCTTTTGTGGTTTATTATATGAAGCACAAGAAAATAGAAAACGTTAGTTTTATAATAATTTCAGAGGTATTGGCCCATGATACAATAGCAGTTCAATTGTTCATTTCAAAACTGATAGAATTCTTGAAACTATCAATAGATTTCTCCAAAATTACATTTATGTCAGATGGAGCAGCTGCTCACTGTAAGAACAGAAAACAATTTGCCAGTCTATGTAACTTCAAATCAATGCACAAATTGGAAGCAGATTGGCATTTCTTTGCAACATCTCATGGCAAAGGTCCCTGTGATGCTATTGGTGGAACTTCAAAACGAATGGCAAAAAGAGCAAGCCTTGCCCAAGAATACGGAAATAGTATTACAACCCCACGAAAGCGCTACGACTGGGCAGTTAAACCAACAGAGAAAAGCATCACAAAATTGAATTTCTGTTATATACCTACTGAGCAATACGAAAAAATGTCAGAAGAACTAGAAGATTTGTTTCACCACGCAAAGACGATATCTGGTACACGAAAATGTCACAGTTTTCAGCCTATTGCCGATGATCAAATTGCAGCTAAAAAATATTCTAATTCAACGGAGCATCCAAAAAAATTTACTCGACAATGTTAAGAAATAACACTTATAAGTTGTTCTCTAAATAAGATAAAATAAAAATTTATGAAATAAGAACACCATTTTTTCATACTCTGCCAATTAAACATGACATTAAAATTAAATTTTCTATATCATTCACATAAGGATAGAATACGTCTTAAATATCTTTTTTGGTGTACCTTTCATTTGGAGCTTGTTGTGTGAAATCCGGTTGAGTGGTAGGTTTCACATGAGTCTCAACATTTCAATATTTTTCATGTCTACACTAAAAAAAATCATTGATTTTTTTCAGTGCGAACACGAAATAGTTTTTGTTAATTAACTTTTTTCTTTAAAAGTGCCCATCTTGAGATTTATGAACGAGTTATAGATAAATGGTCTGCCTATCTGTAAAAAATAATTCCGATTTAAAAAAATTTGTATTTTTGAGACATCTTAATTTTAAATTTTAAACATTTTTTTCTTCAGTGTAGCAATAAAAATTTTAATTTTTTGGTATTTTATTATGTAAGCTTATTTATTTATCTACAAATCATTATCAGGCAACATTTTTTTAGGACTTGACATTATTGAGTTATAATTTTTTTAAGAAAGTATCCATAAAAAAAAGTTCCACTCTTTTTAAATGTTGATCTAGCGTTTAAAAAAAAGTATGCAAAGTTGCTTGAGTAGACGAAATCTACACATCCACAAAGTTTCATTGAAATCTGAGACCCTGCTGCCAATTCCTTTGTCGAGTTAGCGTGAAATTCGTTTTTGCAAAATTGTTTCTAATGATTTTTGTTAATTTATCAGTATCCAACTTGAAAATTTCACAAAAGATAGCATTTTGCATAAGCTTTGAAGGGATTGTTTTACCGTGAATTATTTTTCCCTACAATTTATCTCATACGTCATTTTGATTGGAAGTGATGTTTCGAGTTATGGTTTGTCACAATTTTTCGAATATGCCATTTTGAAGTTTTGTTTTTGCGAGATTCAAAATGCCCAAATTTGAATGTTTTTCATAGATTTTTATGCCTACCGCTCCAAAAAAAGTTTTGATTTTTCTTAAAATATTTGAAAAAAAGATAACGATACATCAAAATATTACAGTTTTTTATAATTTTCTAAACAAAATTTGTGTGAAACATTATTTCTATGTCATCATGGCACAAGCTTGGACTTAAAAACAGCAAATATCTATTTTGGTTTTGTTTAGATTCCTACTTTTTATGATGAGATAGAAAAAATACTTTATCCAGAAATCTATGACACTGATTTTCTTGGATTTTTAAAAATATTTTCCAATATTTAAAAAATAAAATAAAAAAGTACAGGAATTTTTTTTGTTCGATAAGCTTCCGCTTAGTATTTTAATACTTAGAGAAATTTTAAAATAAAAATGATAAAAATTTATGATATTTGAACATTGAAAATTTTCCAAGATCATAGATTTGAACAAAAAATCAACCATTTCTAGAAATATTCCCAAGGTTCATGAAATTTCATTCGAATTTCTAAAGAACTCATTCCAAGGGGGATCTGAAATCTGAATTTATTATATCTTATTACTTTACAGTTTAATTTATGGATGTTGAGCGTTGATCCTAATACTTTTTCTTCCGATAGAATCTATTTAAGGGGCGTAAGCCTTGGCGTTGGTGGTAATCGTTGATTGTTTTTTTGACAGCAGCAGTTGGATTTTTTTGACAACCATTTCAAGTGACACCGCACCACTCAGAGTATTAGTTTCCCTTTTCTATAGTTTGATTGATCATTGTGACGGGTCCGATGAGGAATTCAATTTTTAATTTTCCAATAAACTAAAACGACTCGTCAGAAAGTTAAAATTGATCGACTTCTCTTTTCATATTTTTCTCTCAAAGCTTGTATAAATAATAAAATGGCCCATGGGAAACTTTTTAATTGCACCATTAGTCTTTCATAATGACATCGGAAACGTTTTGTTAAAAAATAAAAATCCGATATTTATGGTGCTACTTCTAGCGTGACCTACACTGCCCATAATCGCATATCAGTCCCATATGGATAGGAAATCAAGCAAAGATGGGACTGATATGCGATTATGGGTAGTACAGATCATTAAAAAACTGGTATACAAAAATTAAATAACGGATATTTATAATCCGAGAGATACATTTTTCCGAATTATTCTGTATGCCTTTTTAAATTCTCACTATCTCAAAAAGAATGTCTTTCAAGACAACCAACACCAGCAATCGCGTAAGTTACAGCAAACATTGTGTTTTTCACAAACGATCCATCATTCTCATCATTATATCTCCCCATTAGTTCATTATCTCATTAATACGCACAAACTTCGGCCATCCATATTCAGTTAATTGATTTCATGGGTAGAACGGTGCGCGTAACTGGATGCAAAGGTAAGCTCATCATGACACATTCATTACATATTGTTTACTAGTGCAACTAACTAAAGGTCCGGTGCATGGCGACTAACATAGCCGGGGTAGTGCAGGGGGTGGTGGTGAGGTGATAAAGCATTTGGACAGGTGGGAGCATCTGTTCCAACTAAATGAATGACTATAACTATACACAGTTGCGTTTGACTAAATGTGTGTGTGTTTGTTTGTATGAGTGGGTGGATATATGGTGCGAGAAAGGATGCAATTGCTAACATTCATACACACTAAGGATGGGTTGCTTTGGAGATTGGTACGGACAAGTAAGGTATCGTCTGGTGCTCGTGGATGAAAGGTACGGCACAGGGAAAGCGGAAAGTTCTCTCTCTCTCTCTAATAACTAGCTTTTTTCGAGTTCTATTTACCTGCTGGAACTGTTAGAGCGCTTGCTAGTCCTGCATGTAATGTTCAAAGCGAGAAGGAAATATAAATAATTCATTCGATATTACATGTTACGAATGTTACAAATTGCATGTTTACTCTCTAGTTTCGTTCGGATCGAGGGGGAAGGATGAAGGATTAGTCGCTATAGATGGTATACCGGAATGGAACATAACGTAATCTAAACATATGTTACAGTCTACTACTGATTAATCAACTAAAGAGGAATATGTTTGAATTAACAAGCGAGAGCTTTTTCATAGAGAGCGTATATATATAACTTTGAACTCGTCAACTGATTCAATGGGAGGTAGAAGATCAACGGGACTTACATTCTTGGCCAACGATGGTGTGATTTGGCACTTGCAAGCTGCTTCCCGTGTGATATCCATACCCGTTTTGGGTAGCGTAGACGGATGTTTTCTGGTCTTCCATCGCGAGGGCTAGATCCATAGAGTGCTCCAGCGCTTTATTGTCAAGTCCTGTCGTGGGATAGTACGGTGGTGGAGCTTGACTTTGCTGGGCTACGATCGACGGTCGCACTGAATCCATTTCGTAGTCCTTAGCTGTCGTTGACTTTTTGGTATGGTTTCGTTTGCAGCGGCAGAACATTAAAAGAAGCCCCACAAACAGGGCAAATACTACACACGATACTACGATAGCAATCAATGTAGGTGTTGCCATGAATGCTGAGTCGTGGACGTACGCTGGACCAACTGAGAAGAAAATAGAAAAATGTCAAACTAAATTCAACCACATTAAAAGTTTTACTAAATACTCACTCTCTGCATCCATGTAGTCTCCACAATGCTCGTGATTCCCTTTGAGACACAACTTTGCCCTGATCCGCGGAGGAATTTCCTCTTCCAGTGCCATCGGTAGATCATCTTCACCTAGCGACCGAGCGCTACTCCTCCTGGCCGTAATCATATTATCCATTACTTCTTCTTTATACGTTGGCTTACTGCCGGATACAGATAGTGGGATCGTCTGCACTACTTGCCACGTCGATATAGGACTGTCGTGATAGCCAATCGATTCGACGATCGCTATCAGCGACAGGCACGTAGCGCCCACATTGACTCCCAATTGGCGCGTCTCCGGATCGTATCCCACGTGTAGTGGTGCAGGAACTTTGCTTACTTTGGTTGTTGTGGCAATTTCATTCGATGGTTCCGAGTTGCCTTTTGCGTTGAAGGCCTTAACCTTGAACACATAGCTTTGGTGCTGATCCAGCGGGGTTACGCTGCATGGGACATCGCGCTGGCAGTCGAACTCCATCCACTCCGAACTGGTCTGCTGGATAACGCCACAGTCACCGTTCATCTGATCGTGATGTGGAATGGCCACTTTGCGGTACGATACGAAAAACTTCGTATTGCTTATACCACCATCGAAACCAGGGTCCCAAACTAAGGATACGTAGTTTGATCCCACGTCAGCTGCATGCAAATTGGTAGGTTTTTCGGGTGGTCCCTTCGGTTGCAACCGGATCGGAGCTCGGATGGTTTCAATTGAGTTACCGACCCGGCAAGTGTAATCTCCGTAGTCTTGATGTTTTAGGTTGTTGATCCTCAGGACGGTGGTATAGATATCGTTGTTGTCGGTGGTTGTGTTGATTTCGTAGTGTCCATCAGATGACATGGACAAGGCGGCTGTGTTGGTACCAAAGTGCCACTGGAACTCCGGTTTTGGGTAGGCCTGAACACGGCATATGACCTCGGCAGATTCTTTGATTTCGTAAGCTACCTTGTTGTACTGATGCAGGACGATCGGGCCATGTTCGATGCGGAGGTGCATACTGGCATTTGCAGTGGCCACTTCATTCTCGAACAAGCAAGTGTACGTACCACGGTCGCTTGGTAGTAGCTGAGTTTTATGAGGCCGTGCTTTACCTTGGAATACGAGCATACTTTGAACCGTTACCATTCCGCTTAGACCATCGTTGTTACTGGTGCTTATCCGATACATGTTGGCATCGGTCGTAATATCTCGACCATCCTTCAGCCATCGGACAGTTGGCCTTGGCTTTCCCTTGGCATGACAGCTAGCAGAGAAGTCACTATCCCCAACTCGTTTAGTCATATGTTGCTGCATTTTACCGATAAACTGTGGAGGCTGGTGCACTTCAAGTTTGATGGTAGCCATTGGGCCATGGCCCAGCTCGTTAACTGCGTGGCAGTGATAGCTGCCTTCACTTCCAAGATGAGCCCTTGGAATTACGTACTGTGGTCCTTGAGCGAGTATCGTATTCGAAGACACCTCTCCAACGGCATCTTTGAACCACCGGAACTGTGGAACAGGCCATCCCGGAGGATTTGCCGAACAGGTTAGCGTCACGCCGCTGCCCACATGAACGACCGGTTTACTTGGGTTAATATAAGCCTGGCCAGGACGGTGACGAACCAGTAGTGCCACCGTTGAGTTTCCGATACGCTCAGCCATTTTTCCACCGTACGGTTTAATCATGTTGACCGCACGGCAAATATATGTTCCAGCGTGCTCAGCTTTTACTTCACGCAACTGTAGTATATCTCCGGCGTATCGGAAATCCGGGCTACCCTCCTTGAACCATTCTATCGAGATGGGTGGAGGATTTGAGGTAACGTTACATCGAATGGTAACGGTTTCGCGTTCTTCAGCCTCCCATGTTTTTGACTCGATGACCACAATGGGAGCGTACTGCACGTCCACTGTGATTACCTGTTCACCAACCTTTCCCAAGCCGTTATCTGCTGAACAGCCGTACTCTCCAGCATCTTGGACGGAAACCCGTTGGATGGCATGCGTCCGGGAGGAACTAATGAAGCGTCCATTCCGTGTCCACCGGACATTCGGAACGTTTGGCTTGGCATCAACTGAGCACTCTAGCTTGGCAGTTGTGTCACGCTCTACTCGCAGTGGATTTTCCGGTCCGATTTTCACTCTTGGATAATCTGCAAAGAAGAAAGGAAAAAAAGGATGCATTGTAGTAAAACGTAGTTGGTAGCTTTGGGGAAAAGTTCTGTCTTCCGAGAAATGTCAGACTGGGTTTTATCGTCGTTAAATGAGTCCGATTTGTTGCAACACTTCTGAGACAGTCGTGGAAAGCCAGAGTTCCTACACACAAAATACAATGCGAAAAGTTTCAACAAGTCACGTGGCTTTTAGTCTGTGTCTCCACCACAACAAAGCCAATGGAGTTCTTCGTAGTACTTTGCCATTTTGCTGCAAGACGACGGGAAGCCATATACATAGTTGAACGGGGAACAATTTTTATAATGTTGTGTATTTGCTGAAGGAAGCAGTAAAACTCGTCCTTGTTTCTTACTGGCAGGGCTTGCGATTTTCTTTTACACCGTTGGTACTCAGAAGCGAAGGGAAAAGTTTTGCGCCCAGTTTCGTCTGTATTTTTTGGTCCAATTGGTCGAGTCTGTAAGTTGCATCGTTAACAGGGAGGAATTTCGGAACATTCGCTTCCACTTGTTCGTGCTCTGGCGATGAGCAGACGGTAGGTCACAGTGACTCTGGTCAGGAACAAGGGTATGTGAGTGTGGTGGCAGTTTATGGCACGGTACGGAGGTTATCGGTACTGGAATGGTGCGAAAAAAAGTTTTCCGTCAAGTGCGATGTGGTACGAACAGGAAATAGAGAATAGTGCGGTTCGAATGATAGCCGAGTCAAACGAAATGTTCTTTCCTCGTGCCAGAAGATATCATTAATCTCAATGTCTTTGATGGTAATTGAGTTTCTGGTTCGGGAAAATTAATTGTCTGATGAAATGCTCCACCGGTGGTGGTGGAGTGCTCTCTGATTTGGGTTAGTTGATTGCATTTCGGGAAATGAGTTTTAAGATTTTTTTTTGCGGCTTCAATGTTTTTACTTGACGAAGAATAGAACCCATGTGAATCCCTGAAATACTGGTCACAATGTAATCCACATAGGAGAAATGTCGGCTTCGCCAATACCTTAACCTATATCGTCAGGGGGGGTATAAACAACGTCTTTGAGAGTTCAATTTTGGCATGTGGATACATTGTGTTTCAGAGCATCTATTGGCTAAATTTCAGAGCTCTAGGACTTTGTTTCTCTCCCTGACGATAATAGGTTTGGTATTGCCGAAGCAGACATTTCTCATATATGTGATTGATAATGGAGTCATGAAATTCCACGATGGGAGGTTTTTGGATTGGGACTCGTATGGCACCCATTTCCATCGTATTCGTTGAACAAGAATGAATGAATGAAAACAAGACGCTTCAGCTATCAGCTTTTTGGCTTGCTAGTGATTGGTGCGATGGTGCACTGGTTGATTTCTGATGAATCGAAATGTTGCACACGGGTCTGTACATGGTTTAAATGGGACAAACAAAAGTAGCTATTGAAAGCACCTGATTTAAATAATCCAATATGCTTACAAAACGGCCATAAACATAAAAGCCCTCCCAAGCAACAATTTGATTTTATCATGCTCTTGAAGACCATGATTCAGATTTGAAGTGTGATTTAAAGCATTGATAAAACTTGTGATGACACTTAGGCTCTGAATCTATGATGAAAGGTCAAAACATCAAAGGTTGAAAGGACAGAAGGTCGAAAGGAACAATGGTCGCATTTCAAAAACTTAATCAATTCGCTTTTTATTTTGAAGAATGAGTGTTATTGCAAAAAAGCACAGTGTTGTGACAAAAAGCATATATCCACGATCTATACATTGATGCTATGAAGTTAAAGTTGAAATTTATCTAAATGGCATCCCGCTGGATTTGAGGATGATCGATTTTAACATTCTGTTCGTTTTTAATAAATACATTAATATCGTCAGTATAAGCAATAGGTTTAATGATCTTATCGTAGATAAGCACAAGCTGAAAACTGTCAGCTGTCTCTATGTACAATACAAACAATATCATGCTCAAAGTGCATCCTTGGCGAACCGAGCATCCAATTTTGAACTCATTTGTAAAATACCCATTAAAAAGCACACGAGAAGTAGCAATATTGTAGGTAAAGATTTTAAATTCACTGAATTAAATTATGAGGAAATCTAAAATGACTTAAAACTTTCCACTGGCAAGCATGATCAACTTTTTCGAATGTTTTGTAGTGGTCAAAACTTACAAGAGCTCCTTTAAGATTTGTTAGCACGCAAAATTATTCGTCGAATGTATTTCAGATTATCTATGCAAGAATTCTTGGGCTTACAAACGGTTTGTTCCGGTCCTAGAAGTCCTTAAAATAGATTGGATACGGATAACATGATTTTAGTAAAGAGATTGTAGTCGCATTTCCAGAGACTGATTGACTTATATTGATCTATTTCGTTTTTGCTCCCTTGTCAATCTAATTATGCCAGTAGAAAATTCTTTAGATAATTATTGATAATATCAAGTAAATTTGATGTTTAAAGTTTGGTTTTAGCAGTTAAAAACTCTCTGAGGTGAACTATCCTGCGGCTAAAAATCTCATAAATAAAAAAAAAAAAAAAAATAGAAAGTTAAAAACTGTGTTACGTGATTTATTTGATCACCATTCACGTTTTGTCATCCGCTTGAAATTGCAGAGATCAGTATTTTTTTTTTCCTTTGGTTTTTTTTTCGTCGATCTTGTTTTCCGTGCTTAGCACCAATGCTACCGACGTGCCAGGAAGGCAGCTCCCACACCTGGACCCTACCTATCGACCCATCAACTCATGAACCGGGGACCAACGGCTTTACTTCCCATCCGAAGGCAGGCGTGATCAGAGATGTTATGCCTCAGAACATCCCGGCGGCGCCGACTGGGATTGAACCCAGCCTGCTGGGGTGAGAGGTAATCACGCTTACCACTACACCACCGGCGCCGTTTGCAGAGAACAGTAATTCAAATTGATGTCTCGAGTAAATGAAAAGCTATTCAACTTACTGCAGTAGTTTTTTTTTAACTTTCTTATGATTTTTAACACTTGGTTCATCTCTTAAACTAGCCTATGGCTAAAAATCTCTATAATAAAGTTAAAAAAAAAAAAAAAAACACTTGGCTAGTTTATCTCATTAACTACAGTTGTGTTTTGACCTATAATTTTCTATTTCCATTAAACGTGATTTTACTATACCTATGTCTTTGTTATCCTCTTCTCCAAAGCACAAAATGCCATGTAAATTATTAATACTGAATGAAAATAACTTTTCTCTTGAGCTATCCTAAGATTGTTAGACCAACATTGTGCTGAACTGTTTAGTTTTATTTTTAGGCCCCGTAGTTCCACCAATTGCTGCGATTAATGAAATTTAAAAAGAATTTTAACTATTGAGAAAATCTACTGCATCGCGTTCATCCTCTAAAATTGTGGCGTTTATTTTCCAATATCCACGACCTCGGGTGGGTAAGCAATTTGGATTAGTCTTTAGTGTTTTCAACACGACGGAACAGTGGTCTGAGAATCGAACTGGGACTGTCTCAACTGACGAAACAGAGTTTCATTACTCCATAAACCGGTACAAGCGGGCTGCCGATCTTGATCTTAAAAAAGTTAACTCATTATTTTTAAAAATTGAGAAAGAAATTAAAAGCTGCTCCTAGTATTGAATACTTATTAGCCGATTGATATGAACAGAATTATTCAAAAACAGATCATCCCTATGTTTATTTTTGTTTGTTACTGAGAATGCATATATGTTTATGTAATTGATTCGTTCACAATAATCGATATGATTCGACCATTTAGATCAAGAATAACATCCCTACAATTGAACATTTTCGTTAAGAAATTACCAGTACCCATTCCATTTATGTTTACAATTGCATGGTGTGATAAAATAAATGATAATTTTCATTGCAAAGTTCTTGCACGAAAACCAAATTAAATCTCTAAGTAAATTTTGATTAACTACTGTCGTAGTACTGTTCAAGTTCACTGTTGCAATTTTCATATCATAATTTATTTTACGTCATGATCAATCAGAGTAGTATAGATTAAATTATCTGAAAAAACTGAGATGTTTCATAACGAAACCTCAAAGTTGAACCTGTTACTTATCTTTCGAATTCACTTCAATGTTTCTACTATCTGATTTGACTCCGTCATTATTGAAAACGCTCAGTGTGGACCTACCTCTAGTTAATATACTTTATGATTCACCAATACAGTTAGTCGTTCCGGTGACCACCTTTACTCTGTCAACTACAATGGCGCCATCCGAAGATGACCCAGCCTTGCGCGACCGACGTATCGGTCTTCGGTCCTTAACCTTTTGAAACTTTTCCCAGTTGTCTTCCTCCATAGCTTCTGACTCAGATGAAAGAACATCATCGGAAGCAGCAACTTCTTGCTTAGACGACGATCCAGTAACGGGATCAGTGATCATCCTTCAGAAAATCCTTTGACTTCTCCGCTTCACAACTCTTTACGCCATCCGCATTTACATCCACTTCTATAGAATTTTCAACTGTGTCTGCAATGGCAGTTCAGACACCATCTGCCTTTGCATTATTCCCTTTATACAGTGTACGTAAGATGTTTAACACAACCATTTCCGCACCTTTAGGTTTCGGTATTGGTCTTCCCGACCAACGACTGGCAGCCATGTCTCTGAACAACGGATTGGCAGAACCTGAGCCCGAAGATGTCCCTGGTTTTGCTTGGCTGGTACACTTGGACCAGCTTGATCAGATATTTCTATCGGCGTTGAACAACGTAAGACAGAATCTTCATCCTGAACGAGACGCAGGTTGATGTTGCTTGGTTTAGGTAATTTAGTTTCAAATGTTCCATGCTTTGTTCTGCAGGCCCTCATAGAACACACTCTTAGAACATGGATGGGCGCTTGACTGTCGTGCTCAGGGCTAAACATACTCATTATAGCTAAAATTTTTCGAAATCATGAAACTATGAGATATTATAACAATAATTTTTATATGTAAGATGCAAGAAGAGGAGGTAAAGTTTGTGTAAGACACATTTTTTTTTTTTTTTAAT